TAATGAGGTTGTTTTTGTCTTGCTGATTTGAGTTCCTTGTAGATTCTGGATATTAGTCCTTTGCTGGATGTATAGTCTGTGAATATCTTCTCCTATTCTGTAGGTTGTCCATTTACTCCATTGATTAGTTCTTTTGCTGTGTAGACATTTTTTAGTTTAATTAAGTCCCATTTTGTTTTTGTTGTATTTACTTTTAAGGTCTTAGTCAAGTTCTTTGCCTAGGCCAACATCCAGAAGAGTTTTTCCTAGGTTTTCTTCTAGGATTTTTATGGTTTCAGGTCTCACATTTAAGTCTTTTATCCATCTTTATTAACTTCTAATCTTTTAAACTCACATTAAATTTTAAATCTGACACTTTCCAGCTTTCCTAAGGGAGCTTCAATGTCAAAGCTCCTTAGGATTTGCTTCCTTTCTGCAACAAAATAGTCCTAACTACAACCATGTCATCAAAGGTTTTTGGTTTTAAGGATGTGTGGGTGAAGGGACAATGCAGGAATCCTTCACATGCTGACATGTGTAAGAGGCATCATTCACCATAAGGAGTAGAACCAGCATGAATGGGTGAAAGTTTCAAGAAGGTAGGTTTCTTAACCAATCTGGTAACCACTGAAGTATAGGAGCTTTCCAAAATTGGAATGAGCTACTGTGAGCTCCCTGTCACTGAAAGTATTTAAACAAAGACAGAATGATCACTGAGAGAAGGCTCAGGTGATTCTAACATGTGGTCAGGGCTGAGAACCTTTAGAACTAACAGTTCTCGAACTCTAATGTGATGTCAGAATCATATAGAAAGCTTATAAAAAAAATTCAAATATCACTTTGGGTTGGGGGGTTGGACAGAGATCATAATCATTACTTTTTGGGTTGAATCTGCCTTTCAGATGGTATCTCAGGTGCTTCTCTCTCAGTTATCTGAGCACTATACTCTGAGAAATCTGTTCTAAGCTTGTTCTAAGATATTGGTTGCCACAAAGGGACAAGAAAGGTTTTGTTTGTTTGTTTGTTTGTTTAAAGTTAAGAAGGTAAAATCTGTTCTAGCTGTGTTTCCTTAGTACTAATCCTGAGTACCTGCATGCCCTTCTGTCATATTCTAATTTTCTGGAATTCTGTATTGCTAAAATCATCCCTCTTTTCCTTTCTTAACAGATCTGTTGTTTCTTGGTTCCAATTTTGCTATCATTACTGGGCCAAGAATGGAAAACAACTAATAAGGTTGGGTACAGTAGCTCACATCTGTAATCCTAGTGCTCTGGGAGGCCAAGATGGGAGGATCACTTAAGGTCAGGAGTTTGAGACCAGCCTGATCAAGAGCAAGACTCGTCTCTCCTAAAAATAGAAAAAATTAGCTGGGCATGGTGGTACACTCTTGTAGTCCCAGCTACTCGGGAGGCTGAGGCAGGAGCATCACTTGAGCCCAGGAGTTAGAGGTTGCAGTGAGCTATGATGATGCCACCACACTCCAGCCAGCATGCTAGAGTGACCTCAAAAAAAAAAAAAAAAAAAGCAACTAATAAATCCTGCGTGAGCAAAAAGGACCACAGGAACAGCTATGGGAGAGTAAATAGTCACTAAGGTCAGGGTCTCTTCGGCAGCCTGAGTGTCCCCCTCCACGTTCACACTGCAACAGACAATGCTAGCTGACCATGGTCTTGCTTCTCAACTACCCAAGACTTGTCAGAATGTGTAAGATTTAGTATGAGAGACACAATGTATCTGTTCAAAATTTAGGAATTACTAGAAAGCAGGAAAGCCAAAAAAGGTAACAAAGTTAACAAAGGCAAGGAAAAAGTTGAAGAGAATATTGGAAAATCTTTTCAGAGAAAAGATAATTTAGAAAGATAATGACTTCCACTTTGTTTCAAAAATAAATTCTCAATAGTATCTATTTAACTACTTATTTATAACATATTTATTTAAATTATTTAAATAGGTTACATATTCTTTCCTGAACTGCATATTTATTAAGAGGTCATCAATGAATACTAATCCCAAACCTGAAACTATTGTAAAATTAAATAGATTTAATTATTAACCAACCATATAATTATACTTACCATTAGCATTTATTAAAGAATTTATATTACATGAAAACACAAGAAAAGTCAATAAAATTATAGAGTAAAATCCTTTCTCTAAAGTATTTGAACAAGATGTTGTTCTTAGTAGTTGCCAATGAGTCAGAAGTTCCTAAAGATACTGGGTGGAAGGGTCCTAGCTATTTGGGCTTCTATGATCTAGACACTGAATGAGACTTTGTTGTGCTGGGCTGACAAATATCGTCTGTATATTTGGATGAATAGTTTTCTCTCTTTGACTTAGTTTCTTTATTTTTATGTGGGGATGGAAATATCTACTTTTTTCCTGGGGGGGGGGGGGGGGTGAAGGAAATTGTTCCTGTACCATGTACAGTCATGTGTAGCCTAACGACGAGGATATATTCTGAGAAATGTGTCATTAGACGATTTTGTCATTGTGTGAATATCAGAGTGGACTTACAAAAACCTAGATGGTACAGCCTATTCCTCCTAAGCTACAAACCTATACAGTATGTTACTGTACTGAATACTTAGCACTAGTAACACAATGGTAAGTATTTATATATCTAGACATAGAAAAGGTACAGTAAAAACATGGTATAAAAGATAAAAATGGTGTACCTGCATAGGGCACTTACCCTGAATGGAGCTTGCAGGACTGGAAGTTGCCCTGGGTGAGTCGGTGAGTGAGTGGTGAGTGAATGTGAAGGCCCAGAACATCACTATACACTACTGTAGACTTTATAAACACTGTACACTTAGGCTACACTAAATTAAAAATTTTTCTTTGATAATAGATTAACCTTGGCTTCCTATAACTTCTACTTTATAAACTTAATTTTTTTTAACTTTCTGAATCTTTTGTAATAATACTTAGCTTAAAACACAAACACATTGTACAGCAGTAGAAATATATTTCTTTATATCCTTATTCTATAAGCTTTTTGAGTATTTTTTACTTTTTAAACTTTTTTGTTAAAAACTAATACATAAACACACACATTAGCCTAGGCCCACTCACGGTCAGGATCATCAATATCACGGCTCCCTCCTCCACACCTTGTCCCACGGGAAGGTCTTCAGGGGCAATAACATCCATGGAGCTATCATCTCCTATAACAATGCCTTCTAGAATACCTTCTGAAGGACCTGCCTGAGACTGTTTTACAATTAAATTTTTTTTATAAGTAGGAGGAGTACTTTATGATGATAAAAAGTACAATATAGTAAATACTAGGCAACAGGGATTTTTCAGTTCCATTAATCTCATGGGACCATCATATATGCAGTCTGTCATTGATTGAAATATCACTATGCAGCATATGATTGTAATACTAAATATTTAATATGTCAAGCCAATGAAATATATAGGCTATAATTCTTTCATGGTATTTCTTTTGGTATCACCATTATTTTTATGAAAATAGGCTTATTAATTCTTGACCTGCTAACATTTGAGAATGCAAGGAAATCTGCTCAAGCTAAAGAATCATACATTACAAATTCAAAAAAGAATACACACTAAACATTTCTGCAAACGTGCATCTCGAATGTTCTTGTTCATTGTAGGTCACTATGCACCATCCCCTCCCTAGCTCAATGAACAATTTGCCTGTCTATACCTAAAAGGCAACAGTTCTGGGATTTTTTTTTCTTGGCAGGAATACTTGGAAATTTTAAACAACTTAAATATCAACTGACTTATGTTCCTCTTACCCTTTCATGGAAATGTCAAGCATTCTTATATTCAATACTAATGAACAACCACCAATTGTTTTAATTTCATTATTTTCTCAACTGAAAGAGTGCTTACAGAGCACAGAAATAGCGAGGCTTTCTTTTTATAGCTCTCCAACTATAAAACAAGTTTAGATTGAGAGACTAAAAAATCCAACTTTTCCCCCTGAATAGAATTCTTTTGATTAAATTTGCCTTCTTTATCCACCTCCCAATTTCAAAAAAAAAAAAAATTGGCCCCAAAGACAGGATTTAAAACCAAGGACTTGGAAAGTCTTCAAGAGGTCACTCAAGTCATTTGCTTATCTCTAAGCAGGACTGAATTATATATATTTGCACTGTCAGAAATCTACCTACTCTTAAAAACGGCCAGAGGAAGTTCTGCCACCTTAAATGGTAACAAATTCTAGGAGAGAGAGTTTGGCTTTCTCTCCCATACCCGGGCACAGCACACAGCACGCCACAACACAAAACCTGAATTGCAATCATTTTCAAATTTAATCTAAATAGTGTGACTTGCTGAATAAACTCTTCCCCTGACTTGCTACTCTAGGGGAAGAAGGTTAGAGGAGATTTTGGAAATAACATTTGTCCTTTTAGCAATAAATGTCTGCTTTAGTTCACTAAATGACATAATCTAGATTTAGGTATGTAAATGTGTCTCCCAAAAGAACATAGCTTTCTTTCTCGATTCTGAGGAATAGTTTAGTATTATAATAGTAGATGAAAGTTGAAGATGTGGTCCTGCTGTTGCTATATTAGAACAACAGGGAGATCCAGATGTGACCCTCAGCTCATGGAGGCTGGTTTGGAAAGTGTGTGTGGGGAGAAACACTCACCATGCAGACTTGTGATCTGGTACGGCCACAGTCACAGGGCGAGGGGCTACAGTCAGGGCAAGACAGTGCCAAGTCCTTGTTCTGTGGAGTATGTTCTTTGGCTGCAGTTCCCAATGCTTTATGGCTGTTCTGACACTTGAAAACCATGGCAGGGATCTCTGTCACCTACGCCTCTTTTCTAGAAGTTGTGTAACCTTGTTCAGGGACTGTCCATTCTAGGGCATCAAGGGAAGAACTAGCCTTGTAACCAACCATTGTCACCATGCCATCTCATACTCCTTGTACTGAAAATGACTTCCTAATTTAGTTTGATATTTCTAATTGTATTTATGTGGAAACAGCTTTGCTGGTATCTGTCTCAGTGTGCCTGAGAGAACTGTGTACTTACCTACTTAATCTGTACTGATTATGGAACTCTCTTTCCTTCACTGCATTATATTCATTTTGATACTTGAGAAGTTGTTCTCTCATTTTGGAGACCTCTGTGGAGAATGCTTCTGGAAATTTATCAGCTTGCTGTAGGTGAAACTGCTGCTGTTGTATTTGCTCAGTGAAGCGTTTGGCATTCTGTAGCAGCTGGACCTCTGACTCTTGTGTGCTGGGTAACATGAAAACAGATTTGCACGATGAGAAGTATACACCCTCAATATGCTTAGTGTCTCACTGGGGGTCTAGCGAGGACAGCTGCTCCCCATTCCTGGGTTCAATTCAACTCAGTAGTATTTTTGTGCCAAATAAAGTTGGCCCTCCATATCCGTGGGTTCCCATCCATGGATTCGACCACCCACAGATTGAAAATGTTTTTAAAAAATTTCATCTGTACTGAACATGTACAGACTTTTTCTTGTCATATAGTCTCTAAACCAGTGGTCCCCAATCTTTTTGGCACCAAAGACCAGTTTCATGGAAGACAATTTTTCTACGGAATTGGTGGCAAGGAGGCAGAGCTCAGCAGGTGATGCAAGCAATGGGGAGTGGCTGTAAATACAGATGAAACTTTGCTTGCTGGCCTGTCCGCTGGTCACTTCCTACTGTGGGGGCTCCCCTCCCCCAGTTTTCATGGAAGACAATTTTTCCAGGGACAGAGGGGGCAGTGGAGCTCCACTGTGGATCTCCATGGCCCAGGGGGCTGGGGACCACAGCTCTAAACAATACAGAATAACTATTTACATAGCATTTACATTATATTAGGTATTATAGGTAATCTAGAGATGATTTAAAGTATACGGGAGGATGTACGTAGGTTCTATGCAAACACCACACCATTTTATATCAGGGACTTCAGCATCTGTGGATTTTGGTATCTTGTGAGAGGTCCTAGAAACAATCCCTCATCGATACTGAGGGACGATGTACTATACGGCATGTAGCATGTCCCTGTACTCTGCTAGGTGCTAGCAGGTAAATAAGGCTCAGCTTCTGGCCTCAAGAAGTTTGCAATCTAGCAGAGAAGAAGAGACATAGATAGGTGACTGGAATGCCAGGTGACAAATACTACCACTGGTGTCTAGATCAAGACACTTGGAGATGACAAAGAAAGGATTACATTCAATGAGAACGTGATATTTGCACTTGACTTTGAAGAATGATCATGACTTTGTAGGAGGGGGTAAACGATAGGGGAACTTCCCCAGCAACCCTGGCCTTCTTAAATTCTTCTGACATGATTGCAGGAGAATTTTTTTTCCCTTAGTGAACTAAGAAAAGACATAAATTTTTCTAATGGCACTTCACTAGGAAACTAGGAAGAAAAATTCCCTTATGAAATAATGGACATAAATTAATTTACAGATTTCTGATCCTAACTTGGATGCCTCGCTAGAGCTGGACTTGAATGTCACAGTGGAAGGCGATCCTTACAACTGTAATTATATGCTATGGCTTTGGCTCTATCTAGGGAAAGGGGCTAAACATCTGGCAGAGGACGTAGAAATTGGACTTGGTGGAATCCCCAGTATCTTCTAGAACTGACCTATGCCCTGGCCCTACCAGGAGACATGATTCTTCTTTCCCAGAAACCCTCGTATGAGCTACCTGTCCTAGTCAGAAGCAAGCCCTTGCCATTTCCTGTTTTAAAGCCAGCACTCTACTTTCGGTGTAAGCTCCCCACCCAGTTCCCCCACTAAGAGAAATCTTCAGAGATGCCCAGTGACTTGATTAAGCCTGTCTCAAATGAAATTGCCAGCTCCACTCATTTTCCCAGGCTTTGAAATGTCATTTGCTCAATGGCATCTAGCAAAACATTTACTAGGACGTACCATGTTCCGGGCACTGTGTTAGATACCAAATGGCAACAACAGCAGCTACAATGACACCATAAATCATTTCCATTAATGAAAGCTGAAGTTATTCTCTTACAATTCAACTTCCTTAAATGTTAATATACTTTGTAAATCTAAAGTTATCTGATCTCCTTAATGTCAATCTTCAACTGTTGGAATTGTAAGGTGTTGGTCCAGGCCACAGTGCCTGTTTTCCCACAGAAAGAGGAGGACGAGGTGGTTAGGGTTCCAGCCAGAACACAAATGGTAATTTAACCAAATGTATAACACTTGAAATATAGTGTCAACAGAGGGGAATTTAAAAGCTCTTCTGACATGGTTTCTAAGGAAAACTCATTCAGTTTCAGTTCAATATTTCCAGCCTGTATCTCCCCAGCTGCAGCTCCAGAAGCTGAGTGGAGGGTCCACTTCATCATGCCTTTCCCATCCACCGGGCAGTGGGAGAGAGAGAGAATTGTGGGTGCTTGTAACGGCAAGAGAGGGAACTAAGGGGGCAAGAGGAGGTAAAATGTGGGTAGTAGAAGGAAGTAACTGTTCTGCAACACTACCTGGAAGCAGGAAGAAATAATGCCATAGCCTGGGTCCTGCATTGCTATTCGTCACTGGGGCCCAGGGAGCTGAGTTGTGGGCCAGGGGAGGAGAAAGTCAAGTCAGAGCACCCTGTAATGTTCTACTGGGCTCTAGATAAGAGCTGTTCAGAGGGTGAGAAACGCTGCAATGCTTCTTGAATCTACAAAGAGGCTTGGAGGGATGCCCTCAGATCTGTATGGAGTTTTCTTCCAGTTAAGTGCAGTGTGCGGTGTATTGAAAAAAATGACTCTAGACTTTCCATTTAAAGCCTCAAAATCACGGAGTTCTCCCTAGGAGCAAGTCTTAATCGATGAGGGGTGGAAACTGGTGGGCAAACATCCCAGTTTCCTCACTCTTCAGCGAGAGACTTCTGATGTGTGTCGTACACAGACACTCAGAGGGTCCTTTGCGAGACTGCGCCCCGGTTGTACGCAGTGTCACCCTGCAGATTGACACATCCCCCTCTGGATTCCTGCCATCCTTGTCTCACTTCCGCACTTTCTCATGATGCTTTCTTACATCACTTCTCAAACCACGTGAACTCACATGCTCGCCTCAGGGTCTGCTTTTGGGGGAATGCAAATATGGATAGGTCTTATCACAAGGAAGAAATTTAAAGATGATAAAACTTGTCTCCATATTGATAAATAGCATACCTCACCACGGTATCATGCAGCAAGGTATACTTGGCTTTTAACTCCGCCATTCTGGTTCCAGGAAGTTTTCCTGTAGCATGTAACTAGCAAAGAGAACATAAGGTCACTATTAATCATCACTCTCTTTAGGCTTAAGCAGGATATACAAAGGACACATGAATATTTTATAAATATTTCAGTTAAACATTAGAGAGGATGCACGAGAGGCAGTGTGGTACCTTGGAAAGATGCTGGGTGTTTGGAGAAAAGAGTTCTAGTTCTACTCTGCCCTCTGTAAGTTCTGTATTCTTGGGTAAGTCTTTTCACTTCTCTAGGCTGTGATTTCTTCATCTGAAAAATGAGTTCAATTCTTCTAATTCTCAAAAACCTCTATTTTGAGGTTTAGCAAATAATCTAAATAGTGTAGATTACTAGGATGGCCATTTGTAAGTTGAGAAAATGAATAATTATTGAACACCTATTACGGGTAAGTGTTGCTCATCAGTTATTTTCTTTTCAAAAATGTTTTGTGAAGTAGAGATTATCATCTCCATTTGAAGCTACAGTTCAGAAAATTTCGGTGATTTGTTCAATGTTGCAGAGCTAGTTAAAGGCAGAGTCAGAATTTAAATGCAGGTGGTTCAGCTCCAAAAACCCATGATCGCTCCCCGGTACCACGGCGCCTCTGCCTCCACTGTCAAAGCAGCATGAGAAGTCTACGCAGTATATGAAGAGGCATTATTTGTTCCTTTTTCATTTCTGATAAAAGAACTTTTGACTGGCTCTCTGAATTAGGTGATAATTAGTTAATGCACATAACAGTATTAAATACTAAGGTTCTACCTTATTAAAACCATAATGCAATGACCATTTGTATTAGCTTTTACTTTAACTGAACCGCTAGTGACACAGTATCGAAAAATAGGACTGAAGAAAAGATTCGTGATTTTTACCACCCTTCTGTTCTTACCTCCAAAATATTTCTTGAATCCATCTACTTTCCCCTCCCTTCCCTGATCCCAGTGTCCAAGTCACATCATCTGTCAGCTGGGCCACTGCAAAACCTCCTGACCACCCTGCCTCTGTTTCCACTCAGGGCCCCCGCCCATCTACTTTCCAGGGAGATCTTTTTAAAACTTAGGCAAAGTCATGTTCTTCTCGGTTCTCAAAACCCTTCCAATATAATAAAATCCCAGACCCTTGGTATTCACGCCCCTGAGGTCCTGCATGACCCTGCGACCCTCCTGGCCTCCTTTCACAACACCCTATTCTAGCTCGTAGTGCTTCTGCCATGCTGGCTGCCTTCGATTTCCACAAAGACATGAATCTCTTTCCTTCTCCAAGGCCTCTGCATCAGCCCTTCCTCAGTTTTCCCTCATTTTGCTCCAACTCCTTCTTCACACCTCAGCTTAAATGTCAGTTCATAAGACCTTCTCTGATGTCTAGATCTAAGAGATACTCACATATACTCCCCCACAAAGAACTCCATACTTAACATACGACATTAGAATCCACAATTATAAATTTATTTAGGTGATTAAAAAAATTCTTTTTTACTTCCCCAGCTATGTAAGGCCCACGAGGAAGGACCTGGGTTGCCTTGTTCCTCAGCCAGTGTAGAACCCCAAGCATGGCGCTTTGTAAACTTATATTCATTAGCAAATGAATAAATGTAACTGTCGAAATGCGTAAGTCTGAGTTTACAACTGAAGTTTCATGGTCTTTCTACCCAAATCTGGATAGAAAAACATTAAATGCACTATGAAACTGTTTCTTCTTTTGAAAGTGTTGGGATCTTTCATGAGGGCCATATTAGCTAGTGCCAGGCCTGGGTTCCAATCCCCACAACCCTCATTTTTATCTGTGGGTGAAATATAGTACACAGGATCTTTAAGACCTTTGAGGAGGCTCTACCTCCCACTATATCAAATATCTTAAGATGTAGCCATACATCATCTTTGACATAATTTATATATATATATATATATATATATTTTTTTTTTAGACAGAGTCTTGCTCCATCTCCCAGGCTAGAGTACAGTGGCTTCATCATAGCTCACTGCAACCTCAAATTTCTGGACTCGAGAAATCACCTACCTCAGCCTCCCGAGTAGCTGGGACCATAGGTGTGTGCCACCACACCTCCCTAATTTTTCTATTTTTTGTAGTGATGGAGTCTCACTCTTGCTCAGGCTGGTCTGAAACTCCTGGTCTCAAAAGATCCTCCCACCTTGGCTTCCCAAAGTGTTAGGATTACAGGTGTGAGCCACCACGCCCTGCCATACATGTAACTTTTTAACTGTCGAATTGCTGGTAGTAAGTTATGTTACATTTTACAGATATTTAAACATATTTGTTTTGGTTCTGTAGTTTTCTCTCTGTATTTTTGAACTGATATATAACTTATTTTGGGTCTCGAACATTTTCATTGGTTTTGGAAAGGGTACAGAGACCATAGGCATGATACCTTTAAAGTCTAATAAGATAAAAGAAAAAAAGCTTTGCATATATAGACACTCTTAAAGGAAAAACATTGCTGGGAAAATGTTATGAAAAGGTAAATGTATAAGCGTGTATTTGTATCTGTATGTGTGTACGATGAAGGCCAAGTAGGGGCTGGTCTGTAACTAGCCAACCAGCCAGCATCTGGAGGGGAACCACTAGGTAAGGTAACTGTGGGCTCGTCTATTCAAAAACACGTACAGTATTTAGTTTTGTTCTTAGGCTGAAAAGACCATTACCTCCTACCTGCTGTTCCCTGTATAACAGAAACAGAAACGAACATAACATGGGCCCTGCCCTAAGGTAGCTCAAAGTTTGAGGAGATAGACAAAAAGAAATTACAGAATACTGAAACTATACAGTTTTATTGTTAGTAAATAATTGGATTTGGCTTTTTGTAATTATTTCATTTATATTGTAAGTTCAAGCAATTAAGTACAATTATAAATTATAGACCCCTCCTGGGGGTGGGACTTCCAAAATGGTGGGGTGAAGAGCTTGAGGAATTCTCTCTCTCAAAGCAACATTGATTAAACTGGTAAAAATAACCTGAGACAACCATTTAAAGTCTCTGGAAATTGACCTATGGGCATACAAAAAATTGAGGAGCATTTATTCAACAAAATCTACTGAAACTCAGTAAGAACAGTCAGAAAGTGTGGCATTTGAATCATGAGCCACATCCACCACTGCTGGGCTTCATATTCTGGGCAGGCCTGGCAGACAGTAAAGTGCCTGTCTCCTCTGCTTTCCTGTTGCTGAAGATCTATTCCAGGTGGGTGGGACAGCCGCTGCAGTACTCGTCCCCCTGGCTGCCCTCCTGCCCCAGGGGTGGCTGCAGCTGCTCAGCAGTGCCCATCCCCCCTCCCCAGTGTCCTGCTCTGCAGGGAGTCTCTGGGCAGGGCAAACAGGCAAGATCAAAGTTTCCCATATCCCCAGCTCCTGCTTAGTAACACCGAGGCTCTGACCAGGGTGGGGACTGAGCAAGCTGTGAGGACTTGCAGCGCTGCTTGACTTGGTTTGGAACAAAGTGTAGAATATCCATGCCTAAGAGCATAGTCAAAAATAATAGCTATCGCAAGGGCTAACAGAGGAGGCTGCTAGCTTTGTGATATCAATAGAGGCAGAGCAGAAGTTTAATAGAGAAATTGGGGTGAGAGAGAGTAAAAATCACACTCGATACTGATGGTCTAGGAGGCTGTGGAAAAGCCCAAGGTTGTGACCACCCAAGAACAACCAGACAAGGTATTTCCAAGCTATCAGTGCCCGAGTGGCACTATAAACTCCCTGAACTTTGAAAGTGGTCCCCAAGCCACACACAGAGCTGATGGAAAAGGATGAAAACCTTCCTGGCTCAGAGGGCTTAGGCACAACCACAACCAATCAGTGGTTGACCCAGGGGCAACCCCCAGGAAGTCAAGCTTAAAAATAAAAACAAGGAAAAAATATCAAAGCAGGAACATCAGAGGCTATGCACACATTGCGGGGAAATACACTTCACAGAATTAGTCCAGCCAAGTCACTAAACAAATAAACATAAGAACAGTAAAGATACCAAAGTTACAACAACAAGAAGCCTAGGAGGATCAGAATCCAGAGTTGCTACAATATATTTTCTAAAATGTCCAGTTTTCAACAAAAAATTACGAGACAAGCAAAGAAACAAGAAAGTGTGACCCCCTACACAGTGTGATCCTTTGTTTTTTCGTTTCTCTTTTTTCAAACACAGGAAAAAAATAGAGGCAGAAACTGCCTTGGGGAGAGTGCAGATGTCAGACTAACAAAAACGTCAAAGCAGCTATTATAAATATGTTTGCAGACTGAAAGGAAACCATGTTTAAAGAACTAAAGGAGAATATGGTGAATATTCGTCAAATAGAAAATATCAATAGGGAGAAATTTTTAAGGAGCCAAATTGAAATTCCTAAGTAGAAAATTATAATAATTGAAAAACTCACTAGAGGAGTTCAACAGTAGATTTGAGCAAGCAGAAGAAGGAGTGAACTTGAAGACAGTAGAGATTACAGTAGTTCTCGCTTATCCTTGGGGCAGACGCTCTAAGACCCCCAGTGGATGACTGAAACTGCGGATAGTACCAAACCCTATATGTGCTATGCACAAAGTTCTTTTCCCCTCCTCACAATTTCACAGGTTGAAGATTTGCTCATGTCACAGGTCTTAGCAATCTCAGCATATGATTTTTTTTCCTCTCCTTATTAAGTCGAGAACTTTCACCTCTTCACTTAAAGAAAGCATTTTATGGTCTCTCTTTGGCATATCCTAATTGCCTTGTGCTCTGAGGCCATTATTAAGTGAAATAAAGGTTACTTAATACAAGATCTGATAACTCCGATGGCTACTAAGTAATTAACAGGCTGGTAGTGTCTACGGCATGGATGTGCTAGACCAAGGGATGATTCACGTCTCAGGCTGCATGGAGCAGGACAGCATAAGATTTTATCATGCTACTCAGAATGGCACAAAATTTAAAAGTTATGAATTGTTTCTTTCTGGGATTTTCCATTTAATATTTTCAGATCATGGCTGACTGTGGATAACTGAAACTGCGGGAAGAAAATTGTGGACAAGTGGGCACTGCTGT